AGGTATAATTAATGGTTTATATGTGTTACAATTAATTATCTGTAAATAAATTATTGTTACATACATTATAACACATGTAACCAATGTATAACTTATTACATATGTTACATTAATGTATTATAGATAATTAATTGTTAAATTCATAATTTATAATAGAAGAAAATTTATAATATCTTTATAAGTTTTAAACATTTTTAAATTTGAAATCTTACCTATATTAACAAGCATTTCTTCAGTCACAAAAGCCGATGGACCTGGTTCAGTAACGTTCATATTGTATGCAAAAACCTACATGTTTTGTATTATGCAATTTTTATGTCCATGAAATAATAAATAAATTTTATTTTTAATCTAGTCTATTTTTAACTCTATACAAATTATTCATATTTTCAAAAATGAAAATGTTTAGAAATTTAATATTTCCTTACCTGAATTATTAAAAATCTTGTAGGTTTTTGAACATTTTCGCAAATATAATCTTCCCACAAATCACAAGATTTATTGGTGTGATTTTTCATATTTGTGCAATGCTCGTCAGTATCACATAACTGGATACCATAATCACGCAATTTGCCGTTGAGAGGAGGAAGTGGTCTTTGCCATCTCAAGTGTATCACAGGTTTTTCACGAGTATCAATCTCGACGACTTCCAAATTGTTTACTTTGGGTGGAGCTATTATGTTGATTAAATACGCATTACATTAGGGTTGTAAAAAAAAATATTAAATAGTCATAATGTTAAATTTTACCTCTTGGTGGAATTTCGCATTCGAGTTCTACGAAAGCGGTTTTATTTATAATATTTCCTATTATCTTATTTGTATTATCATTTTTAACATCTCTTGCTACATAAACTTTTATTAAGTATCGCTCAGCACCTGCTAATGTTTTCTTCCAAGGTGCAAATTCTACTGTATTTAAATTGAGAAAATTCCGTTTGTCAAGTTTCTTTCTAACGCTTAGGCTCTCATTTTTTACAGAGTTACTAATCCCATATACTATTATTTTGGTTTTCATTGGTCCCGAAATTGTCGTGCAATCTTTAGGTGCTTCCCATGATAATATTCCGTTTTCTGCTCGTAAGTTATTAATTATCTCCGATGGTATTTCTATAAAAAATTGGCTTATATACATTTATATGTATAGGTATATGTATCGCAAATTATTTTAAAATTTATTAAAGAAGTAATTTTAATTAAATTTATTTATTCATGCTATTTCTGTTTGTTTTATGGTATTACTAATAACTATGTTAAATAATAACTTGAATACTCACTAGATTCTGCTGTGGCAAAAGTTGTTTCCGCTATCATGTGGGAATTTTGTGAATTATGAGCTATAATTTGCGCACTGTAAGATGTGTACGGATGTAAATCAGAAATTGTAATCATTGTATCTGTTGTCGATATATTAATGATACGATTATTTGATGTAGTTAGGTTTAAATCTCTACAACCATAGGACTCTATCACCTGGAATTTATAACATATAGTGTGTGTGTGTGTGTGTGTGTGTGTGTGTGTGTGTGTGTGTGTGTGTGTGTGTGTGTGTGTGTGTGTGTGTGTGTGTGTGTGTGTTTACGTATAATAAGTTAATGCATGTTAAACTGATAAATTTAAAAGTAATAAACCTTATGTTATAAATATACTGTTCAAAATAAAACGCATCGACAATTCCGCATAATTTGATTATTTGGTATGAAATTTTTACTAATACCAGATGAACTTTATTAAACTAAATAATATTAATTAACTAAAAATAAATTTTATGTACATACTTTAATTATTTTTAAAATACTTACCTTTAAAATCACTTCATATTGTGTTATATTTGATTGACTTGGAGGTCTCCAAGTCAACATTACTTCTGTATCGGTCAACACTCTAGATGAGACTATAAATGTTTATTAAAAATATTGATAATTTAAATATATAATGTAACAATGTATTTATATGCAATATCTACAACATATGCATCTACGTATACTTTTATATATTCTTACGATATAATCAAACTTACCGTTGTCAAGCGTGCGAATTTCTTGAGTAAATATCTTATAACTTTTGTGATACATAGTCACATTAAAATTAGTATCTGATGGTAAATGTTGTAATGTGTATGGAAAATACATATTTGATTCAGAAACTTCTCCGTTCGTATTTATATTTCGAACTATCAGATGATACGAACTCTTTGGACATGGATGTAATTGCTATTATAGAAAAAATAGGAATAAATTTTATTGTTTCCACAATACTTGTGATTAAAAATCAAAATTAAGAAATTTAAAACAAATTTAAGATAAAATGAATACATACATTTGAATTGATATCCCAATTAATTACCAACTCGGTTCCTCCAGGTGTTACGATAAAATTTTCAGCGGCTAAATCATTGCATAAAGTATCGATATGAGAAATATTATTTTAAAACAGAACTAAATAAATAACTAAAACAACATTTTTATACAAGTTTAATAATAATAAAGATGCAACTATTTTTTCAATGTAGTAAGAAATTTTGTAACTATTATTACTGAATTATTTTTTATTATGTTGCGTAAACTTAAAGATATTTTTATGTAACAAAAATACGTAACAATAATTATTAACATTTATATTATGTTAAAAATGATAAGCTATTAATAATGAATTGAAACAAGTCTAATTAAAATTAATTACAAATTTATTACAAATTTATTTTTAATTACAGATAACGAATTATCAGAAATAAACATAAATATTTCTAGATAATGTTTGAAATCAATACATAAAGCAATAAGATACTTTGATAACTTGATTTTAGATATTTTGTTGTTAGGTTTATACAAACTAAATAAATACAAACTTACGATTGCATTGAGTCTCAACAATTTTCCAGTCACCATATATCAATTCATTTTCAACAAGTAAATTACAACTAATTTGATAAATAGCACCAGGTTCTAAATTTTTAAAAAATCCTATTAATTGTGTCATATTTCGAAATATCCTATTCCATGAATGTGGAACATCATATTGCATTTGTCCCTGTAAAAATTTATTACAAAATTATTCTTTCTTTATTTTTTATCGGATGCTAAAAAATACTAACTATATTTGGAATTATATTGATCGCAACTCAAAAAATAACTCTTATAACATTAAAAAATATTGGGACAAATAATATAAATGTATATGTACATATGTACTTTAATGTCAAAAGAATAAAATATTGAAATATTATCATATTCATCTTTCCATATCATAGGAACAATGGCATTAATAGTTGTTTCGCTTGTAGAGGTAATCACAGGTGTGCTTGGTTTATCTATACCTGTAAAATAATTAATATGTTTGCATTTAATTTATAATTGATATTTGCCTAAGTATAATAAAACATAAAATAATATATAACATATAATAAAGTATTACTTATTTGACACATGGGAGGTATGTGAGTTTTTCTGTAATTGTTGCATCCCTCATTGCATATTCCAGTTATTTTATTACACGATCCTTTGCACAAACCGCATATGTTTTTGCAGCCATGACCATAGGTGTTTGATGTACAAGCTAAAAGCACAGTTTATTATATGTCGAAATATGTAAAGAAATAACGTTAAAAATTGCTTACGTGAAGAACACTTCTTTTCCCAAAAACCTGGAGCACATGTACAACCGTCTTTGTAACAAATTGTAATATTTTGACAGTTAACGTCACTATTTAGATCACCTTCGCACGATAACAAACATTGCGGTCCAATTTTTATCTTGTGGACAATCTGCGTCATCTAGAGAAACGTTCTCTTTTTATTATAAAATAACTTTTTACTTTTTTTAAAAAAATTAGTGGATAAAGATGCGATATGATTACATTTAGTTAATATTTGTATTTATCACTGATATTCTTAATTACCCAGTTTTATATTCCGTTCAAGACGAGATGTAGAACTCACGAGAGTGTGTTCATCATAAAATAATTTTTGACATGTTATCTTCGGCAAATAGGAAAATTTTTTTCCATTTTTTTCATACCAATTTTTTTTGTAATTCAAAATACTTTTTCTCAAAGCTTCTAAAATATAATGTAAAATACATTATATACATAAATCAATGAATTTATTGGAAAATTTTTAGAACTGTTTGATGATTTCCATGGTGCAATAATTGATATTAAGAAATATATGATTTAATTAAAGAATTTTAAAAAGTAACAGAAATTCTTACCATTTTGAGGACATTGACGAACATTCGCTATCGCCCACAGAGGTTTAGAAATATTTCTAATTAGTTTAGGAATTAATTGAATTATTACTGAACTATAATTATTCGCTGAAAAATGACTTTTAATTTTGACAGATTGCCACATAGGTAAACGATGAACTTTGGCTTCTGATGAGCCTTTTACTGCAACCATTCCTATCGTTTTATGTGTCGTGGAATCTCGCAACAATACGTGTGCATTACATTCGTTACACAGTCCAATTAATAATTGTATGCATATTGATTTATTATTAAATTGAAAGGCAGGACTTAATAAAGTTGCAGTCTCGACATTTGTATGCAGAAAATTGTCTAAAATACGCATCAAATTATTTTTTTATTAATCAATTGATTTTTATTAATCGATTGATGATAAATTTGAAATAAGTTTGCTTGATAGAAATTTCTTTTTAGAATTTGCACTTACAAATATGAAATCGAAACAACATTGATGAATAATAACTTGCGATGAACATATGGTAATCATAGTTTGAACGTTCGTTCTCTTCTAAGTCTTTATATGTTATAATGCTTTCATCAGTATCATAGATGATTATTGTTCGAAATATAGCATCCCATGAGAGAATGAACGATCGCCACTCATTATCAGACAACGATATAGTCTGTATTGATTATTAATTTTAAATGTAACATGAAGATTCTTACATCAATTTTTAAATCTTTTAAGATTTTATTCTTAGGATAACATAAAGGATTGCTTATGAAACATTAGGATGACATAAATAATAGTGTGTATAAAAATTCTAAGTTCGTTTGAAATTGATCTCAAAATCGTTTTGTATATAATATGAAAAAACAGCGTGATAAGGCTTCAAAAAGAAAAGTATAATATATATTTAATTACTTTGTAACTAACTGCTACTTTCTTGCATGCTGAAGCTTTCAGCCATTTATTCATTTTATTCGCACACTTTCGTATAACAGATTTATTTTCCGAGTCTATTGTAATCCAATAGCAAAAATCCTTATTATAATTTTGACCATTGCAAATTAATATATGCGCGTGATGAGATGTACGAACCGAAAAAGAGAGTGATAAAGTGATAGGAAGTTGAATTATGTATTTATAATCATCTCCAGGATTATAATAATATTCTTTAAAGTCTGAAAATTGGAAGCAAATATTATTTAAAGCTATTCTAAAGATATATTTTTCTTGTAACATTGCTATATATTGTTACAAATTGTTGTATAATATATTTTATGCATATTGCAATTCTTTCTTACTCCACGAGACTTTTACCTTCCCATCGTTGATCAAACACTGGACCCATGGGTGTTTTAATCGAATCTGTGAGATTCCAGTCATCTCTCCTCCATAATGTTAAGCAATTTTCCTCTGCATTCATTTTGCAATTTATCTCATTATTGTTGAAACTATTGTTGATATCGTGAAATCCTAAAATAATATCTGTGTTTATGATAAATGCATTATCTCATAGAAATGTAATAAAGCATCGAATACTTTATAAAAAATTTACTTAAAGCTAAATGTAAATATTAATGACAACTTCAGTAAACAAACGTAACAATAAAATTTATTATTTATGAAAGTAGGAAGGGCAATAAAACTGTTTTTGGGCAAATGTCAGATCCAGTTTAAATAAGTGGGCAATTTTGATCTTCTATATGTGTCCTATAATTCCCTCAAATAGTTTTGTAATAGAACTATTTAATTCATTGTAATGGCAGTCTATATTTTCTCGATTTTTGTGGGATTTCGCACTCTTGCCTCAATCACATGTATTTTCAAGTAGTCAGTATTTGGTGTCGCACTTTCCTAAAAAAGTTCACATGTAATAAAATACGTTAATACTATTTCTCTCATCAAACGTTCTCATGTAAAAATTGACGTTATTTTATATAAAAAAACTTAATATTAGTTTAAACAAGTTTGTGTGATTCTTGACTAATGAAACTTTGATGTTGCTTATGAAAAAAAGTGCTAAAGACAATGGAGTAAAGCTGTGTATGATTGTTTCTACGAAATGCTATGTGAAGTAATAAAATAACGTTCAATTTTAACATGAGAACGTTCGCTGAAAAGAATGGTTCTGATATATTTTATATATCAGAATATGTGGACAAAGTTTTTGAGAAAGTATGAAAGTGCAATACCAATACTGACAACTTAAAAATCCATGTGATTGAGGCAAGAGTGCGAAATCGAGGAAATTCAGATTGCCAACGATTCAAAAGATTCTATGACAAAACTATTTAAGAGAATTATGAGGCAAACATAGAAGATCAAAATCGCCAATTTTGAGCCAAATCTGACATCTGCCCAAAAATCGGCCTTATTGAACTTCATCCTTTATGAATAAATTTCATATTATATTCATTTCAATTTTGATAACTTACGGAAATCGTTTGCAGACAATTTTGCCTTTTTAAAATTTGGATCATTTAAATTGTAGTTCCACACAAGAGCGCCACCATCGTTTTCTGAGAGACATATCATTCTCAGATTTGATGATTTAGAAAATGTTGATCCACGCAACAGAGTTACTTTTCCGATAATGTGTACTATCTTACTTGCGAAGATAAATAACATAAACCAACGCATTATTACTTTCTTCATTGTTAATAAAATCACACACGCTGTTTGATCGACAATTGTCAGAATAAAAATAAATGAAACAACATGTACAATAAACAATATATATTTAATTAATCAGGTTATTTCATAGTATCATGTTTTATAGTCTTTATTTTATAGTCTTCGTGCTAAAATCGTTTCAGTGAGACCGTTTATCGAAAACGTTTAAAACACGTATGAATAAATCTTTTGAAAATAGCAATCTATACTATATTATGAAAAGTTAATTTAATTAACTATATAATAATAGAATTAAATTTTTTGACCGTTTAATACTTTAATTTTCATTTTACACTATTCAATCTACCGGCCAGCAGTAATTTCAGATAGTAACTGGTAAAGGAAAGAAACTCAACTTCCTTCTACTAAATCCGAGATAATATGTTCGTATCTACCGCCTGAGGCTTGACGTATCAGGAAATGACGATTGTACAGGATGATTATGCCATTTTTATATTAGATTACTATAATTCGAATTATATAAATATATTTTATATTTACGAAAGAACACTTTTACTGGCAAATCTAAAAATTTGGCTAGATACAGATCTGAAAATGATTGTTGGGCCTTCAAAATTATTATATAAGATTTTTTTTTATATTATTATATGTTCAAATTG